CTTGAGTAAAAGTACAAGTATCTTATCATAAAAATATTTTGGTAAAAGTTAAAGTCTTCTCTAAAAATATTACTTGAGTAAAAGTACAAGTATCTTATCATAAAAATATTTTGGTAAAAGTTAAAGTCTTCTCTAAAAATATTACTTGAGTAAAAGTACAAGTATCTTATCATAAAAATACTTTGGTAAAAGTTAAAGTCTTCTCTAAAAATATTACTTGAGTAAAAGTACAAGTATCTTATCATAAAAATACTTTGGTAAAAGTTAAAGTCTTCTCTAAAAATATTACTTGAGTAAAAGTACAAGTATCTTATCATAAAAATACTTTGGTAAAAGTTAAAGTCTTCTCTAAAAATATTACTTGAGTAAAAGTCAAAGTATCTGATATTTTTTGTACTTAAGTGCAAAGTAAATTTCCGACACAAAATCTGCTTAAGTATTAAAAGTAAAAGTACTGAGTAAAAGTGAGCAGTTAGATTTTACAAAATGACATTTATTGGGAGGTGACTTCTCCAAAAAATATTTTTTCTAACGGTGTGCAGCTGTGATGGGTTGTGTACAAACTAATAGTGTCAGAATGGTATATATTTATACTTCTCATCCAACCACAATTAAATTCACTCTATCCAGGAGACACAATTTATAAGGATAGTATTTTCTGAAGTAATAACAACTCAGAATAAAATAGGAGTAACAACTTTCTACTTCTTCCTTTTTAAAAGATGTAGTGAGTAGAAAGTACAGATAATTATGTAAAAATGTAAAGAGTAAAAGTAAAAATTACGTTGAAAAATAATTACTCAAGTAAAGTACAGATAACCAAAATTTCTACTTAAGTTCAGTAACAAAGTATTTGTACTTAGTTGCTTTACAACTCTGAATTTATAGAATGCTTTCAACATGAGAATTTAATTGTATACTGATTCAAAATATATCTTTTCTCTTTTTGGTTAGAAAATGTTTTCCTATAATAACTAATATATTTATAAAATAACTGTCAGCTTTAATTTGATCCATTCTGAACATTTTTTTAATTTAATTGTCTTCTGCTTCAGCCATAAAACTGTCAACAATTCTTTGCCTGTGGGAAGTGACTGGAGTCTGGAACCAAAAGTCGTCGCCAAAGAAAAGTTTTTGCCCTTATTGAACTTTGCCAGACATTTGTTTTCAAACATTTTTTCTTCAGCTGACATTTATTTGTGGTATTTCCAAAAAGTAAGATGCAACTTAACCAAATTGATTTAGTCTTCGTCAAAAAAAATGCAATTCATATATGCAAATTTTTGACCTGTGAGAAAATGTGTATCGACTCACTCTGAACAGACACAAAAAATACTTAAAGTGGTGTTGGATCAACATATTATTTTAGAAGAAGTCTTACGAGATGATTTCTAAGCTCAACAAGGTTTGGACATTGACACACATGGCTACAAACAGTCACATAAAATTTATAGAATAGCAGCCTGGTGCTGCTGGACATCATCAGGAGAAGAATTTGGAGACAGAGTGTTTTAGGGACCACACAGACCTGCTGGCACACAGTAATGCCTGGATTATGATCTGATTTACAGTCCCATTCTGTCAGAACTGGACTGAACTGGTCCCACTTCCAGTCCTCACCATGCTGGGAGGACTTCACAGTCGTCCCTGAGCTGTGCCATGCCAGTCTTATGGCACAGCCTCATCCATGTCAAACACCCCCACACCGTGACTGACACAGTTAGTTCTCATTTCTGAACATCATTTGTGTGGGCAACAGAGAACATGCTGAAGCTTAATATATTAAAAACTAAGTGTATGATATTGGGTTCTAAATGTTTGGTAAGAAAAAATCCATTGTTAGATGTCTTTTTGGATAATCAGCAGATTTAGCAAGTCAGGGAGTTTAAACTGTTAGGAGTTATTTTAGATCAATTGTTGTCATGGTTTACACATATTCATATTATTTTCAGTAGAATGTGCAGAAATATTGCTGTTATTAGACGTAATGCGCACTTTAATTCTTCTAAAGTAAAAATATTTGATACAGTCATTAGTTTTATGTCATTTAAACTACTGTTCTGTTGTGTGGTCCAGTGGTCTAAAGAAGGATTTAAATATGTTACAAATTGCTCAAAATAAAGCTGGCACTTGGTTGTGATTTTATGATCAGTGTTGATTTAATGCATAGGAATTTAATATAGTTAAAGTTGAAGAAAGATTGATATATGGATTTGTTTGTTTCTTTTATAATATCTGGACTACACATGAACCTGCCATCTTGTTCTTCCAGTTGTTGCCGACTTTGAATAGACAGTTTTGGAACTAGATATGCTGCTTCGGTGACCTTTATTTGACCCTTACCTAAAACTAATGCATTGAAACAAACAGTTACAGCGGGTAAAATAAGTATTGAACACGTCAACATTTTTCTCTGTAAATATATTACTAGAGGTGCTAATGACATGAAATTTTCACCAGATGTCGGTAACAACCCAAGTGATCCATACATACAAAGAAATCAAACCATAAATGTCCAGAAATGAAGTTATTTGTAATAATGATAGATACAGACCAGATTGGCAGGTGCACAGGTGCTCACACTGAACGGTGATGTGCAGGTGGTGCTCCGTCGACAGCAA